ACGTGGTGGCTCACAACCATCTGTAATGAGACCTGGTGCCCTCTTCTGGGATGCAGGCATACGTGCAGGCAGAACACTGTATACATAATAAATAAATAAATCTTTAAAAAAAAATCAAGAGATTTAAAAACAAAGCTGATGGATACCAAGGACTATAGAAGAAACCCTATCTAAAAAATAAACCAAAACAACAATAACAACAACAGAAACGCACCGTATTTGTGGGGTTAGCAATCTAACTCAGTGGGTAAAGGCTCTTTCAGCAAGCCCGCCAACCCAAGTTTGGTTTTTAGAACAACCTATGGAAGGAGAAAATCAGCTTCCAGTGGCTGTCCTGCAACCTCTGATGGTTATGAGAAGTGGCGCTGGTGGCGGCCCTGGTTACCGGCAGAAAAGTCCTGGGCCACAGCCACAACTGCCAGAGTTACAAAGAGCTTTATTAGAAAGAAGGAGGGGACAGGAAGGAGGGGAGCCAGGCCTGGAGAGAAAGAAAGATGGCGGGAGCAGGGCAGAGAGCAGGGAGCAGAGGGGAAACAGGGAACAGAGAGAGAGGGTTGGGGGCCTTGTCTGGCGTAAATGTAGCCACCAGTGCTCCCTGATGATGTAAGACCAAAGACCCCAAGCTTGGAATGTGCCAGAGTGAGGGCAGGATCCTAACAACCTCCCTGTGTGAGCTTTAGTAAAGAGAGAGAGAGAGAGAGAGAGAGAGAGAGAGAGAGAGAGAGAAAAGAAGAAGGAGGAGGAGGAGGAGGAGGAAGAGAGAGACAGAGAGAAGGTTATGGGAAGGTTTAAAAACAAAACCCAAACCAAGGCTGGAGAGATGGAGTGGTTAAGAACACTTGCTGCTTTTGAAGAGGACTGGGTTTTGATTCCCGGCACCACATGGTGGTTCATAACCATCTGTAAGTTTAGTTCCAGGAACTCCAGCACTCTCTTCTGACTTCTTCGGATACCAGGCACATATGTGGTACATACATGCATGCAAAACAGGCATACATGCAAAATAAAATAAATCTTTAAGAACGAAAATAGTAAATAAGAAACATACTCTCAATTTTGCCATTGAAAAAAAAAAGAAAGAAAAAAAAAAGTATTTCCAAAAGAATTTAGCAGTTTTTCAATCACAACAATGTTCTGTATTTTTCTCAGAAAATAAAATCCATTTATTAAAAGCAACACTTGGAGCCAGGTATGGTGTCCCATGTCCTTAATCCTAGCACTTAGGAGACAGAGGCAATCAGATTTCTGTGAGCTTGAGGCCAACCTGGTCTACAAAGCAAGTTCCAGGCCAACCTGGGATATTAGTGAGCCCCTGTGTCAAAACAAATCATAAAAACAAAACAAAACAAAAAAATCTTCAGGCTGGGGCTGTAGCTGAGTCCTAGGTCATGTATTTCTTATGCATGAGGCTGTGTGTAAGTTTAGTACCCAGTGCTGAGAGAAGGAGGAGGAGGGAGAGGAGGAGGAGGAAAGGGGAAGAAGAGGAGGAGGAGGAGAAGGAGGAGGAAGAAGAGTACTAAAATAACCTTTAACTCTTCGTCAGGATTCAGCAATGTATTGGGCATCACTAGGACCATCATGATGGCTCTGGATCTCCTCCTCCCTCCCCGCTGTGAACCTGGAAAGATGAGATGCCAGTGCCATAGCTGAGATCCTTCAGCACTTCCATAGTGTACAGATGTGATTGATGTTAATGCGTTATGATAAAATAGACTAACGGGAGATAGAGATGGAGTGTTGAGATGGAGGTATCGATGCTCTGTTATCTCTGCCCCCTGCAGGAAAGGTACAGCAATCCTCTCATGTTGCCATTACCCTTTTGTGACAGAAGACACTGTCTTCATTTTTTTTTTCATTTTGAGTCAAAGCATAAAAATAGGCAGAAATGTTTTTAGCTAACATGACTATGATAGTCTCTGTGCTTTGATTTAATTGTTCGAAGAGATCAAATTGTACTAGAGCAGAGGAATCTGAATCCAATAGAGCTGTCAGCACAGCAGAATGTCAGTCATCTTACCAAATCGCCCCCTATAGTGTCATCCTGTGTAGTTCTTTAATTTTAGGCCAGAAAACCGATGTAAGAAATATTGTGTGGAATATACCCCAAAGAACTGCCCTGTGTGGTCCGTTTTATATTGTGCATAGAAATAAAAAGAGCCCACAACACAACACTGTAAGTCGATTTTACCAACATACTTAGATGGGATGGTAACCATTAACTAGGCCTGTGTACTCTTCAAAAAAAGCATCACACTTTCAAATTACGCATTTAATTTAACAAAGCTCAACACATACAAGTTTTTATATAGTTCATCTCTCAGTCAGTTCCAAAGAGTCAAACGTGATTATGGAGGCTGCAAGGGCTTTTTGTGTTTTCTTCAAATGATACAGCCCATGTATGCGAACAACAAGGCTGATGAATTTGCCGTTTTATTTAGTTGACATTCTAATTCAAGTAGTAAGCTGAAGTTTCTTTTCATTTCTTTGCATTATTAATATTATTCTGTTTTTTTGGTTAGCTTGGGTAAAAACTGTTCACTGGTGTCATTTTTGATAATTAGCCTTTTATATCTTGGAGTTTGGGGTAAGCAAATAAATATTTTAAATGTAATTGGTGCAATTACTGTATGTGCATTGAACAACTTTATATGGAGCTTCGTGCCATGTCATATTTTTATGCTGGTGGGGTTTTTTAAATTATTTTTTTAGATTGTATGCAGTATTCTTCTGAAATATATAATTACCAGCTCAACCTTGAGGTGGAGAAGCAAGGGTTCTGTCATTCTTGCAAACACTTGTATTGAAAGATACGAAAAGCTTGCCTTTCCCCCGGCATTTCTACGCCATCAATAGGAATAGTTCGAGTCTGACTGTTAGTGTTATTTTGACGTCTTGCGCACTGTCCTGGTAGGAGTCTAAGCCAAGAGCCAAAGCCCGTTCAGATTTGGCTGGCGAGAGGCTGGAAGGCTGTGAGTGGAAGGTGGTGGTGGTGGTGGGGTGATCAGGCCAGGGGTAAAAGCAGAAGAGGTGGAGACCTGAGCTGCCTCCCTGTCCTGTCTTCATGGCCTGGAGCACCCCCAAAAGCTCTAAGTCTTCTTAATCTTCCTGTAATAAAATTCAGCCCGCAGGAATTCTGGCCACACAGGGCAAGAGTTTGGTAGGAGGGCACCGTGTAAAGTAAAAGCTATTCCTCCCCAGATCCTAGGAAGTTTAGGGGAGGTCTTAGGACGGACACACAGAAAAGAAATGCTGAGATTCAGGAAGATAACTAATGTCAGTGGCACCCCTCCCCATGTGTGGCACACCGGCATGAGCATGCATACATATGTGCATGCATACCACACACATACACATGGAAAAAAAATGAGAGGCTGGGCGTAACAAGACACAAAGTCATACTATCCTTACTGTATCAATAGAAGTGTCTATCAAAGCCCTCCTTTGCTGCTGAGGATGTGGCTCTGAGGAAGAGCCTTCATCTGACCTGTGCAGGCCCTGCATTAATTAAAACCTCAGCATTGATAAGGGAAGAGAGAAACATAGAAAAGGGGAAGGAAGGGGAAAAGGAAAAGAGGTTCTTCTTTGCTGCTTGTCCCGGTTAGCTCATTCTCGGGGCATAGTCTTTCTTCCCTGAAGCAGATGTCTTAAGGGAGAGAGTGCTACTCTCAAAGTTGCTTGACCACGGCAGTAAATTGACTCAATTCCATGCCATTTGGTAAAAAAACGAGACAACAACAACACAATTGTTTTGTTAGTAGTATTTATCATTTAGTTTTATTTTCAATCAACACATAATAATTATGTCCTTGTGGAGTGTAACATGTCTGATACACAAAGTATGATTAGATCAATAGTTAGTGTATGCATCACACCGAACATTTATGGTGTTTGTTTTGGAAACATTCAGAATTTGTTTTGAGCTGTATTTTTCGGTCTAGTCACAGCTGTTGTGTGGGAGACTTTCCCTGGAAAGACGCAGCACACACGTCTACTCACCCCAGAAAGGGAACCCATCGTAACCGGCCAAATTATGATTGCACCAGAGTTCAACTTGATGAATAATGAGTTTTTATTGGAGTTACGAACAGGAAGTGTGGGTACAGGGAAGACTCAAAAGCAGCCACGGCACCTAAAACCCCAGTCAACACCCAATCAAGAAACTCAAACTGTGCTGCACCTTGGAGCACTCTAAAGCAGAAAGGTGGAGAACAGCAAGTCAGCAGGTGGGCGGGGTCAAATGGGCGGGTCATTGTCCCTTCCTCAGCAAGTGGGCGGGGTCAAGTAGGCGGGCCTCCCTCAGTGGTTGTTTACTGTAACCTTGGGAAGGGGCCTTCTGAACCCAGTAAATTTCACCTTTGTGAAGAGCTTTTGTTTCCTGAGTGCCGTGAGCTCCCATCTGCTAGAGAGAAAACTTCAGTTCAGAGGAAATTGTTCTATGTAACAGCACCGCAATTATATGTAACACCACCACAACGCATTCTTCTTCTAGCTACCTGTGGTTTTTATGCTATAGTCTTTAGGGTTTGGTTTTGTTATTTTGTTTTTAGAGCTAGGATCTTGCAGCATAGCTCTTAACCTTGCAGTCTTCCTGCCTCAGCCTCCCCCATGCTAGGATTACAGATGTGTCCAGCTTTAGCTCTTAATGATGTGGAGAAAAGGTTATTCGAATTCCCCTTGAATGAGATTATGACTTTTTTTTATCTACCAGTACTTATCAAAATGATTATCATGTATAACCTTTGACCCAACATTCCCCCTTTAGGAATCTATTCGAATGAACTATTCAAAGTACGTATGGATATAAATATGAGTCTTTATTTTCCACAATGGTGTGGGACTATAAAAACTATAGCATAAAATAATGTTACTAATCAACAGAAAATATGTTTGTTTCTTGATCTTTAAAAAAAAATTGTCAAAACATTTAAAACTTTTTCTACTGGCTTCAAATACATAAGGAGGAGGAGAGAATTGTAAAACTAATACAATAGTTCACTCTAACTTGAAACATGAGAAACATTCAAAATTGGGTTTTATTTCTTTGCAAATAGCTTATCAAGAGTAATTTGATCAGAACTTTCATAGTCTCATCAGATAACTTACCATCTGAAGCAAGCACCTTCTCTACACCTGACAAATTGTCATATTCATTTCTAAGTTTGGATAAGCTTCCAACATTTTGTTCTGTGCACTTTCAATGTTGTAAAATATCTTCGAAAATTCTTTTAATGTGAAGTTTTTGGCAGACGTTACTTCCTCTGGGGCATCTTCATTCTTTCGGAAACCACCTTCCTCACTCCCATCAATACGCCTTTACCGGCTTCTCCTAGCCACATTCCCACCCAGAGCCTCTCTTAGGGCAGCGGTTCTTCAGGTTCCCACCGCCAGCCCCTCCTTGGTTCCTCCCTTGGTATTCAATTTCAGTTTCACCTCCGCGGTTATTGCCTCTTGTTTCTTTGTTACACTTGAATTTTTGTCAAGTGTCATATGGGTTTTAACTGAGAAGCAGAAAAACAGCACAATTATGCTTTACTGTCTGTGCATAAACTGACTAACAGATGTATTATCAGGTCCAGATATTGCTAGCAATCCATGGAGTCTGCTTAAAGGGCAAAGGAATTTATCAGAGAAGGAACACTCACTGTCCAGAACAGGGGAATTATTGCAGGGTTCTGGAAGGTTGAAGCGCAGTCCCATGCTGTTCTTTTGCCTGCTCTGTCTCCAGCATCCAAAACCCTAAGGGAGCAAAGAGTGAGCCACATATGTGCATCCCAGGTCTTAAGGGTCCCCAACGACCACGCCCCAGGGGCATATACTTAAAGGTTATAGGCAGGTGTAACCGTTACCTGCTACCTCACTGGGGGGTGGTGCTTCAAGGTCACAGCTGGAACAACTCCCCACTATACAGATGTGTGATGAAGAGTAGGGTGGACTTCCTTAAGCATTTGCAGGGCTGCCATGGGAAGGGTCACTACTTTTGTCCTGAAAGGAATAGAAATGGGTACAATGATGAGATTTAAAAAGCTTAAAATTGTTATAAAGATTAGATGCATTAGGTTTGGAATCACTTTAGGGGACACTTGGTTCAAAGATTCTTAACTGTGTGTGTGTGTGTGTGTGTGTGTGTGTGTGTGTGTGTGTGTGTGTGTTGGTATTGATGCCAACAACTCAACCCCTCTATGGAGAAAGGCTGGTTTAGCCACACTTGTAAGAGTTTGGAGTCACCTACTTCCTGTCTGTGTAGGATTTAGAAACAGGATTCTGAGTCAGTCTAATCCATACACCATCTTACTAGTATATAGGTAAGATGTACCAGCAAGTACTTTCTAGCCCTCGGCTTTTTTCTCTGTAAAATGGAGCAAACAAACTAATAAATACCTTTGAGAGCAGTGACGCCTTGGAGATGACATGACTGACTTCATATCGTCTCCTCACATAGATTCCATCAGCTTGTTCTTCTAGGCAGCCCACATAGTCACAAAATCTAGGTTTGAAAATGCGGACCAGCTAGAGCAAACAGCTTCAGACAAGCATTTCAGTTGTCTGCCTCTAACCAAATTATTACCGTGAATTCTTTCTTCAGAGTCATCAGGAAGAGCCAGGGGTGTGGCCCACACCTGTCATGTCATCACATGGGAGGTGGAGCAGGAGGGTCGTGAGTTCAGGACTAGCCTACGCTCCATCGTGGGTTTGGTGGCAGGTCATTGAGATAAAGTGAAACAATTACTGACTTTTACCACAATTCCTAGTAAATAAAAGTTAAGCATGCACATGAATCCCAGTGAGTCATGATTTTATTTAAAGTGATGATATGTGTCAAGTTTTCCATTCAATGAGGGTGTGGGTCTAGAATGACTTGGTAAAATAAAATACCCCCCTCACTCGTGTGTTCTTGGACTCTATTTTCTTTCAGTTTTCAGGTTCAACGGCTTTTCTCATCACATTGCTCATCCACAATCATTTATTGAACCCCTACTGAGTTCCAGGTTCAGTGCTAAGGTGCTGGGAGCACTCGGGGGTGGGGGGTGGGGGGTGGGGGTGGGGGGCAGGGGCTCCGTGCTCAGGTCTTTCAAATCAGGAAGATAAAAGAGTTCAGGTAATTGCAATATGATGTGATTCAGGTTAAAAACAATAGTGTCTAAATGATACAAATAGAGCAAGCGGAAAATTGTACAGAAGTCCGGGAGAGACAGAGCCCCTGGAACCTCTGTGACGGAGAAAACATCTCAACTGGACTCTGTTAGGTAGAAATCCGGACACAGGACGTAAGCAGATGGTGCTGTTTCATATTTGGTATGAAATTTCCCAGGACTAACTGACTACCAGACTGAGAGGGCAATAAATTTGGGTTCTTTCTTTGTTTTTTTGTCCCCAACATTTGACAGAAAATCAAAAAAGTGATGGTCCAAGTTAGAGGTACGTGGCAGCATCTGATGGTACAAAGTACAACCCGCCCCCCTCACCTTACCGCCTGGCTTTCATTCTCAGGACCAAATGGGCCACCATGCCTTCAGCCAAGGCCTCCCCCCCCCCCTTGTAAGCTTTTGTGATTTTATGGGGAAGCAGAAACCCTCCCTCAAAATCGAACATACCTCGTTAGACAGAATGCTGTCCTACAGTCCTCCTGAGCTGTGAGCTTTGGTAGAAGGTAAAGAGAAGACAGCTGTGGATGCCGTTCATTCAAGCTCTAGCAACCGTAGCGGGAACCGTAGGTATTCTGCTTCCTCCTAACCATTCGGATTAGTTTCTTAGAGCTGCTGTGATCAAGTACCACAAAGCAAGGAACGGAAAACGGTAGAAATGTATTGTCTAGCGGTTCTGGGGACTGTGTGCTCCTTCTGCCGCGCCTGGGCAAATCCCCGTCCTTGGCTCTTTCTGCTGCTCCGCTCGGCGTGCAGCTGTATGACGACAGTCCTGTTCCCGTCACCACTGTGCCCTCCCCTGTGTCTGTCTGTCCTCACATGGCCAGTCATTCTGGATTGGGGGCCCCACCCCGGTGTAACCTCATTGTGACCGAATTCGATCCTCAACACTCGGTTGTCCTGGGCAAGGGCGCAGCTAGCCTCCAGTCATAGCCTCACGTGTTTGCACTCAGCGTGTAAATAAGGAGCGGTCTGCTTCCACTCTGCCTTTCTTTGTTAGGTTTTGAACACGTTTTTTACAAGCCTTATTTTAGTCCTCGTTTGAGAAACAGTTGTTTCAATTACGAAACTGTGACAGAAAAGAGAGAGACTATGGGAGATTTTGTTTTCAAAGTATGGGGGGGCGGTTCTATTCCATTCCTTATGAGAAAATGTATAACTATGAAGGGCTGAAGATTTTGTAGAACTTCTGGAAAGAGCCTGCTCTTCTGGCTATTTTTTGAGTAATTGTAAACAATAAAAACTAAAAGAGACACAAACAATTCAGGCAGGCATTGGGCTTTCCAGGAGCTAGAGCACTCTGTTCAATGGGCTTATGGTGAAAATGCTCAGTAATCATTAGAAACACAAATTGCAAAGGAAATGACAGATGATGACCTTGTTTATGGTGATATGAGTTGATCAGTCCTCTGGAAGAGCATTTGACAACTCTGTCTGGGGTTCTAAGGTGGAAAGGTTGAAAATGCCTGAGGATCAGGGCATTTGCTGTGAGGTCGTGTCTCCTAGGAATGTGAGAAGCTGCACCCGTGAAGTCTCACCACCGTGACTGCCCAAACAGGAACTGAACAAGGACAATAGGAATAGACATGCCAGAGTGGACTGGGGAAAACCCACAAGGCGTCAACCCTAGACAAAACGACAGGCAACGTAGAAATGCTCAGGATCGGAGAACCAGGCCTCCCCAGGGAAGAGTCTCCAGATTGCTGTCTAATACCTAATGGTTATCCCTGAACATATATACACAGGTAACACTATACAGACTGAGTGGGTTATGTTTAGGAATACATATGTATGCATGTAACAATAATAAAAAGAGGCCATGAATTTGAAGGCAAGAAAGGAGGGATCTGTGGGAGGGCTTGAAGGGAGGCCAAAAAAGGGGGAAATGAAATTATAATTATGCTATACTTTCAAGAATAAAAAAAATGAAGAAAAAAGTACAATTAATATCTCTAGAAAGTTCTACCCTAAACAGATAGGCTGAAGATGAAAAAGAATTGTGTCGCAGAAGCTGCTAACCACAGATCATTTGTAAGAATGAGAACTTGTGAGCAATCTAGACTAATAGTTAAAGGAATAGTTGGCAGGATTATGATGTGCATCATGCTTTTGTTGGAATATGCAGCCATCAAAAGGTATAATTATGAAGACCTGTGGTAACATGAAGAAATACTTAGTCTTTGAGCTGTGTGGTTTGTGTGCACACACGTGTTTATCATATATGTGGGTGTATATGCTCACAAGTGTCTGTGGGTGCACATGGGCCTGTGTGTGTGTCTGTGTGGAGGCCAGAGGTCATCGCTGGGTGTCCTCAATTACTCTCCACCTTTTTTCTTTCATGAAGCAGGGTCTCTCACTGAACCTGGGGCTCTCCAATTTGGCTAGGCTGGCCAACCAGTGAGCTCCAGGGATCTGCCTGTCTCCTTCTCCCCGGCATTAGGATTACATGGGGTATAGCCAACCATGCCTGGGTTTTTACATGGGTGCCAAGGATCCAAACTCAGGTGCTTATCCTTTTCTGTGACAAGCTCTTCCCTAATGGAGCCTTCTCCACCCTACAGTTGAATGACTTGAAAAGTAGTATATATGTTTGCAGTTGTATAAACCTCTAAAGTATGCCTATGGAAAAATGTCAGCAGCAATGAGATGAAGTGGGTAAGAGTTGTCGGGAACATGAAATTGTTTCAAAGTGATATGATTATGAATCATTTTCCCATCATTGTTGAAAGTTTCTCGTAATTTAAAAAGCCTCAACATACTCAACTTTCTATTGACTTAAATTCCTCCTGTGCTTCTTGCACACGAGCAAAACTTTGGGGGTAATCTCGTGAACTTTTGGGAAACCAAATATTTGCTTACAGGCGTAGTGTAAATCCCACCAGGCTCTTTCTTTCATAAATAAGTCTTGTCCTAAGTGGTCGGATTATCCTGATCTGAGAAAGCGACATTTGATGAAAGCGTTTCAGTATGGTATATGTGCATTCTATAATTAACGGTGATGTCTTTGACTGGCAAAGTAATTATTTTAATCCCGTCTTCGTTATTCACTTCAGTTTCGGTTTATGGCTTGGACTTGAAAGCTGTTTTCAAAGAAAAGAACTTATCCATAGGCTGGAGAGAAATGGGCTTCCTTGTACCCTGGCAAATGATCTCTTCTGACTTGGTCGTCATGGTGGTGTGGGTTTGACGCCAGCTAATCCATGTTGTTGAGTATCATAGCGATCTCGTCATTTGCATTGTTAAAAAGAAGATGCCCCCCTCCCTCCCCACTCCTCCTCGCCTTCTCAGACAGAGTGTAAGGACTCAGAGCCATACTGAGGAAAGAAAATAGGCTTTATGGAAGAGAGATGGCAATAGATCATAAGTGACATGAAAGTGGTAGAGTGAATAATGGGAGTGGAAGTGTTTAAGTGGAGATGAGGGAAACAGAGAAGTGAGAAATGAAGAGTTGTTGGGAAAGTCAACAAAAGTATGCACTAAAATGTCATAAGATAATCTGATGCCTGGCAAAATAATTAAAAGTAAATTAAGGAAATACAGATATGGGAATAAAATAAAATTCTACAACTTATTTTAAAACTAAGGAAAGCAAATGTACTACTCAGGAATAAGTAAATTATCTGGTGTGAGGCCTTTGGCCTGCTGCTTTTTCCTGGCAAGGGTTCCCTGGAATGGTTGGACAGCTCCCTGTCCCTCAGGGAACACAGGTACCGACTCTTTTCAGGGTGTGACGAGTAACCAAGAATGATGGCCCCTCTGGGCTCTCTGCTGCTCAGGCTTGATTCGATTATGCCTCTGTGATTGACTAGGCTTCAAATTCGCTAGTCTAGATCGCTACCTGAAGACTAATTTTGGGTGGTAGTACATCTCATCACCCTCCAGCTCCCAAGTCATGCACTCATGCACACACGTACGTGCGATATTCTTCACACAGGCTTCCTGTGACTAAAACAGCATGTGCCTTTTAAGAGAAAAGAGGGGTTTGATGGGGTAGGGGTGAGAGCGATGGAGGAAAGGAGTTAATCCATGTCTCCAGGATAAAGACTAGACAATGGGGATCCATGCAAAACAGCAGTGGACAGTTGACATCCACTGACTCCCTAGTGAAATGCAGCCCGCCCTCCATTATTCGGGGACCAGATCATCCAGGGTGTAGATTATCCAGGCCATATGCTTCTCTTCCTTTGCCATCTGGCTGGTTGCCTGCTTCTCTTCCTGTTAACACAGAAAATACTCATAATACTCAGTTCATGTCTGCCAAGCCATTTCTATTACCTTATGTTCGTCCCTTTTAAGCTTACTCAGAGCACCTCCTGGCGAAGCCCGGTTGCTTGGCATATCCGGATCCCTCACAGGACACACAGGTGAGTTTCTAGTGTTCAGGCCTCTGCTTGTTGAACCTAGCTTGGCAAGAGTCCCTTTCTGTCTCTTGTGTTTATTATTTATCACTTCAGCTAGCTAGTGGGCTACTTTAAAGCAATGGACATCTCCTCTGCCTTTAATACCCTCTTCAACTGGCCCAGAGAGCTCTTCTTCACAAGTCCAATGGGGACAAGTATTTGTAGGCTAAGTACCATTCATCCTTATTTCAGACACATATTTCATGACAAAGTCACAGCCATAAGGAACAACAAGCTGAAATACTATTTAAAAAAAAAAAAGCAAATGCAGACTTTTAGAATTAGAAGGAAATCGGAATAATTTTATAGTGTTGATAAAGAAGTTGAGATAGAAAAATTTCATCTATCAATTGAAAAGTCACTTGTCTTTGGTTACCCAGGAATTTGTAGCAGAGTCAGGACTGGAATTCATATCTCTGTGGCCATTTCTGTTACATTTTTAGGGTTATAGATATCATAACAATTATTTAGAGTTATCTTTATTTACTTTAAAGATTGATCTAAGACAAGAACCAAAAAGATTTCACCCAATGTCTAGAACGCAACTGACACATAGTAGGTACCAGTCAATGTCTGTTGAATGAAGGAGCGAATAGTTTTTTCTCATTTCTAGGAACTGGGAGGACTCTCTAGTTCTGGTACAATCAAACCCACTTTTGAAGCAACTTTCTCCATGGGTTTTTAATTGACTCTAGACAAATAATTCTGCCACAAGTTACAGTGAATGCATTAATTTCCTGTTAAGGGATATCAGAAGTTACTAGAGAAGCAAGTTAATGCTCTTACATTGCAAGTGAATGTCTGTTGACCAAATGTCTATATGGGGTGGGGGATTCATGTAGCTTTATATAGAATTTCAGTTTAATAAAATTCTCTAATTTACAGACCTTACATGAAAACCAAATTTTTATTATATTACTTCCTTTAAACTTTTTTTTTAGACTACTCAAATAATGCATGTCCATTACGGGAAAATTGGAAAAGAAAGGCAATCATTAAGAAGAATAAAACTGCTGGGTCCTGGGAGATAAAGGCTGTTCGCATTTGTCTCTGGCTCGACCTTATTGTGTGGAACTCACCCGTTCATACTAGTTAGCAGAGCTAACACGCTAGTTGGCTCGGCTTTCCTCATATGTCCAAACATTACTCAACATCAGTAAACACTTCTGGAAACCACTTTCAGGGGTTGCAGTGGTTTCTGCAGATGTGTCATAACTTGCCTAATGCCCTGTCTGCAATTTTTTCACACAATTGTCATTATACTAGACAACATCCAGTGGTATTCTTAGAATGATTTCTGAAGTGTGCCGGCGCTGCACCGAAAATACAGATAGTGTAAGGCTCTAAAATGTGAATGTTTCAGTCAGAGGGAGGACTTTCTTGGAGAGTTCGAGCTGTTAGCTAGAAGA